TGTATATGACCAATTAAAATGGGCAAATGTTTAATACAATTAAATATATATATATATAATTAACAGGAGAATATATAGTTTTTAATTAGTATTTTTGGTTAATTTAAAATTTAAGTTTCAACACTTTAATACTTCTGAATTACTTGTACAAGGGCTAATTACCTAATCTACAATACATAACACGACTGAATATTCTTTCGTTAAGTACATGTAGGAAATGGGATGGATTCTACTATTGACTGTCATTATAAGCAAAAGCAAATTGTCTTTAGTTTTTGTATTTCATCATGCTTTCTATACATTTAGGCTGTTTTAAATTAATATGATGTTTTTCTCACTTTTTATTTTATTGAAATTTTAGGATGACAAGAAACAAACACATCCAAATTGTAATTTTGAAAGTAAGTGATTTTTGATGACTTCATCATTAAAGTTATTAACAGTTAATAAACATTATTCATAATTTTGATTTGTATTAGTTAACAAATCAAATAGTATTAAAGAGCAAAACAAACAGAAGCACTTCAAAATCTAACCATATTTCTTAATATCCAATTACATCTGATTCTGGCTATATGTTAATTATCTACAGAATATATTTTAAGCAAAGTAATTCTACCATTTGTTCTTCTCTCAAATATAGTCTTTTTCTTAGTAAGAATTTCTCTTTATGTGTAGATGAACAGCCATGATTTTGAGCCAAACTATAAAAGTACCTTTCTCACGGTATTACATAAAACATATGCTCAATCTTCTTTTATATAAACACAACATTTAATTAGCAATTATTCCTTAAGAAGATGTAAGTTTCTATAGTAATGGTTTTCAGCCTGATTTAAATATAATCATTCAATAAATAAATGTACTGGTTCTGCAACTTAAATTTTATATATATATATATATATAGCTAATTTTAATGTTAAAATTGGTATATGATACAACATATATCACCTTCATTTTTATAGTAGTGACATCACCATTCACTTGCATACATGGTTAAAGATCACTCGTGTGGCATTCTCACTATATTTCAAATCCATTTTAAACAGAAAACAATTCAATTAGCAGCTGTCCTAATATTTTCATGAAATGTATGCATTTTTTAAAACTTGTATAACATATAATAAAAATTACTGTAATGTCAAATGTATTCCCTTTGAATACAACAATGTCTTACATGAAGTGGAGCACAATGTTTTGGTGAGCAGAAAGTACAAGTGGTTTGTTTGTTTGTTTTTAAGTATGCACAAAGCTACACAAGGGCTATCTGTGCTCTGCCCACCACGGGTATCGAAACCCGGTTTCTAGCGTTGTAAGTCCGCAGACATACCGCTGTGCCACTGGGAGACAGTACAAGTGGAAAAAGCATTTTAACATACTATTTGTCAAACAATATTTAAACAAAAAAGAGCTTTGTTAAAGAATACTTAACAGGAAAATCTTAAAAAGACGACAGCATATAGATTCAATATAGTTTTAATATAACAGCATATTTTTTAAATATAATAAAACTAACAATTTCAGATCTTGAAAAATCAAAGTTAGCACTATCTTCAAAGAGATACTTGTCTAATAACTTAGTATTTACTTCTTGTGATGATTATTTTACTGTATTCACAATTCATTGTTCTAAGGAAAAATACTCGTCAGCTGATAAAATGAGTTACTAATAGTGGAGTAGCAATAAAGGAGATCTGGTGTTTCATAAATATGTTTGACCCTCGTTTACAATATTATTTGTTGGATCTTAAAAAGAAAAACAACTAAAACTGTCTTCTTGGAAAAAGAAATCAATAAATAATTCATACTATAAATTATTGACTTTAAATATAGCTTCCTATGCTGAGGATGCGAGTATGTATGCACAAATGATCCACAGATGGCATAATCTACACCCAACCAAATGCTTTACAACAAATACACCTTTATTAAGGAAGCCAAAACTTGCTGAATTAATGGACGATGTGTAATATGAAGATATGATTCTTTTAATCACAGTGTTTTCAATTTCCCTCACTTTAACAAACTATCACACATGCACAGAAAAGCCACACTTATAAATTTCAAGGTGGAGATTCTCTTCTTCTTGGCTGATGAACAAAGAAATGCGTAAGTTTTGTCGGCAAGTAACCTAAGTTGAGCTGGTAGAACTCAACCAACTGTAGTAGATCATAAAACTTGGTTTTTCCACCATCAAGAGTAAAACACAACTGGTTTTTCTCTTCCATCTAGCAAAAAAATATTTATATTCATATCAAGGAACTACATATATTATAAAATTATATTAAAAAGGTTTTTTAGACAATGTTCACCCTTGCAAAACCTGAATAAAGTTTACCATATTAATGAAATAACCTGTTACAAACTACTTATATATATATAAATATTTTATCAAGTTCGTGTATGTATATATACATATATATAGTGTGTGTGTGTGTTATTAATTAATCTACATAAGTCTGGTTGCCAAAAACCTCTGAAGTATTTTAATATTTCTTGAAAAAACTAGTTTATTTATTACCACATCTGACAAATGCTATTATCAAATGCATTAGGACAGCATACCTTCAGTTAGTAATGGGATAATCACTGAGGCCCAAAGGCCAGTAGCTGAAGAACAGACAAAATGGAAAGATCTTAAAATTTCACTGTTCTACTAAGTAACAGTTGGTAGCAAGTGATAGTAACCAAGTTCAGGCAGAGATTAGTACTAAAAGTGGGTCTTTTCTTACTGAAATAGTACCACATCTTCTAAAGGTGTGCTGTCTCAATACTAGCTGTAATGTAGTGTAAACATTTGAAGATAATACTGTTAGGTTATGTTCTTGCATTAGACCACCAAAGTTACCATTTAGCACTGGTATATTATACTGTCAAACAAAAACAGGACTATTCACAGATATTTTTATTCATTACTAAAACACATGCACACAAACTAGGTGGATACAGCGATTAGTTAATGTTTCTGAGTCCAATATTACTTTTTGAAAAGTATAATTTTGTTATAGAAATTTAGTACAATGTTTTACTAACAACTCGAGACTGCATAGGTGAAGACAAATGTAACCAATTTCAGCACAGAAACTTAATATGATGTATTACTGGTGCAAGATCATAGACAAAGACAAAATCAACCAGTTATCATAACTAACTTACTAGAAAACAAAACCCAACAGCTATAACAGTTTTAACTCTAGAATACAAAAGTCAAGAAATATTACAATGTTTAAGACAAAAGACATCAACTATCACACATTTGACTCACCAGAAGACAAAATTCAACAGATACAGTATCTTACTACAACAAATTAAAAAATAATCAGTTATCACAGCTTTAATTCTCTAACCAGAGAGCAAACCAAGGTTTGGTCAATGATGGTTCATAATCCAACATGATTGGATTGTTAGCACATCGTTGACATTAATAATCTGGATCACTATTGAGTAACTAACAACTCAGAAAGCTCATTAAGGTTAATACAATGTTAGCTCAACATTGTCAGTTACACTGGCTCAAGACTAACAGACAATAGTGGCTCAAAAGCAATTTGCACATTAGTCCTTAGTTAAGCCAATGTGTTGGTTCATTGTTGGCCCAACATAAGCATTGACTGTTTTTAAACTGTTGCCCAATGCTCTATAATCTCAGTCAAAAAAATTAAAAAATACCTAATTAAAATATCAGCTTATTAATCAATATTAAATAAGCAAAGGTAAAGTAAAGGGGTGTAGATCTATGGATGTAAAGAGTTTTATGAAAAAATGTCTTTTTTTATGTTTCATTATGCTAGAACAACAAATGGACAGGAGTTCACAAGTCATCTATAGTAGCAGATAAAGTAGAAATTTAAGATCATGACTTGACATTTTATTTTCATAGTAAGCACAGGTTTGCTCTGTAGTAGAACCCTCGATTTAGGAGTAGTGACATTTTATTTTCACAGTGAGCACAGGTTTGCCTTATAATAGAGCCCTCGATTTTGGAGTAGCTATCAAGTACCTTTGTGTGAAATTCAACAAGAAAAAAAAAATGGCAGCATTCCATAAATATTTAGCAAATCATGCAAGACCCATAAAAAAAAGATCATATGTTGGTTCAACAGTTAAACCATGGATGCTTGCTTTGAATCAGTATTGAACAAACCCTGGTTTGCTATCTGGGTAATTAATGTTAAAAATTGAAACACTGTGGGCATCAATGTTGACTATAGTTGGGAAGATTAAGAAAAACATGTTATCACAAGGTAATAGTACATTTTGGCCCAACATCTACTTGCCATCTGGGTAAAAGACAAAAGCTACCAGTTATCACAGCTTTAGCTCACTAGAAAATAAACTTCAACAATTATCACAATATATTACCGAAAGATGATAAAGTCATCAGTTATCACAAACTTAACTTACGAGAAGATAAAAACCCAACATTTGTTACAGCATCTTACCATAAGAAGATAAAGTAACCAGTTATTACAAGCTTAACACATTAGAAAATAATCGCCAACAGTTATTACGGTATCTTACTATAAGAAGACAAAGCCCCCAGTTATCACACTGTTACCTGAACAGAAACATTTATAATGGTCTTTCTATAATAGAACAGAGTATAACTACTAGTCTTTAGTCTTCTTAACTTCTGCATATCCCATTTCTTGAGAAAAAAAAACAGTATAAAGCCAGATGCCGATGTTTTTGTGAATTGAACTTACTGGATAGATTTGGGTATGTAGTATTTTCTGATTGTAGACGTAGGACAAGACAAAGCTATCTGGATTTCGGTGGCTTTCTCTCACCAGGAATACCCTGTCAATAGAAAGATGAAGAAAAATGTGAATGGATAACAAGAAGTTATTTCAGCTTTTAGTATTCTATCACTAATTATTCACATAAATTTGTCAGAAAATATTGGTCAGTTAATGAGTGTTAGAAGAAGTTTGAGTATAATTACTATGTTATTTCAGTCTGCACCTGTTGAGTGAGGTGTTTGAGGCAACTGCAATCTCAGCTTTAAAATACTATTTTCACAATTTATGAATTAAATTTTGATATCTATACTTCACAATACTAGTAAAAATATATGACAATTAATAAATCATTTTCTCTGCATCTTATGGTAAGTGTTTTAATATGAACTTTTTTCAATTTGTTTAAAAAAAACCTCAATTACATTCCATGTATCATTTTAAACCAGGTACAAGAATTTTATTTAGGCAATAACGATTAACATGAAACTGTGGAAACATTTGCTGGCTTTCTTTCACTACTGGAGAAAATCATTAAGAGCCACAAAATTTTCATTCCAACAGTCAGATATCACACTTTTGTAACATCATGGCTAACTTCATTTTCTTTTATTAGTATAGTTTTAGAAGAAATAAATCAAACATCAGGTAGTTGTGTAAGTGTTTGTACTATGATGATAATTCTCTGCTTTGTATTAACTCCTCATTATTATGATTGTCTAGCCTGGCAGAGAAAATACCAAGCACACTGGAAAGAATTAGTTACAAGTTCATATATAACTGGGAAGGTATTTGATGTTTTATTAATATATCAATAACATTTTCAAATCTGCATTTAATGAATGACTGTAAACATGTTAAAAAAAGACTTGAAAACATACTTGTTAGTTTTATTTAGCATGGTCTAGTGCAATGTTTCTCAATCATTTTAAGTCATGCCCCCCTTTTCTTTTCTATAATACACCTTGCCTTCCCCTTCCAAAAAAAAACGTTCAACTCATTTAAACTGTGATATATACACACACACACAAATATATAGCCAATAATGAAAACAATAAACTTAACTTAAGAAAACAAGCAAAAACAAAACATTTTATTAATGCTTTTCATGCCCCACTCCAAAAAAAAAAATGGGGTGTGCTCCCCACATTTTAAACACTACTGGCCTAGTGGTCAATGTGCTGAGCTGTAAATCAGAAGCCCTTAAAGTTCTAGACTGTAATATTCCACTGAATATGCTGCACTTTCATTGTGAGTAAAAAAAAAGTGACATTCCTTCCCAATATTTGATTAAGAATTGCCATGTATATGACAGAAGCTGCTCAGTGGTTACCCTCTGCCTGGTTCGCAGTTCAAAATTAGAGATGCCTATACCTGAATGTTGAGATCTCAAACTGAGCCATTTAGCTCAAGTGTTGCATAAAGTGCCATTTGGGTTGAAAATAATATATCTAGTTTTTGAAATTAATTTTTTTCAGATAAAAAATTTTTCAATTTCAAAGAATCTAGTATTATTGTGACCAATACTAAGTTAAAAAACGAAAGAATTGAATATTGTAGGGATTTATCCATTCACTGTTCCATATTTTGTAAATAAAGAGGTAACTTATGTTATGCACCATAAAATATTAACAGTAATACTATGAGGTCTTACCCATCTACTGTTACATATTTTGTTAACAGCTGAGTTGCTTCCTCTCTCGTCATGCCACCATAAAACCATGGCTGAAGCGTGTGGACCCCAAACTCAAAGGTTGGTTGAACTGGCGAGTGTAGAGCTCGAAAAGTTGAGACTTTTTTCTAAAATGAAATACATATAAATATCAAAGAATGATTCATTTAAGTTAAAATTATAATGAGTCTTTATAACCTCTAAAATATTATGAGCATCTACACTTTTCTTCTGAGCTGTAAAATTAATGTAATAATGAAAATCCATATCTCAGTGATCCCATTTATAAAATTGTCACAGCAACAGAGGCTACCTATATAATGTAATGATGGCTTTTTTTCATTTGTAATACTGACAGAACTACAATAAAACAATATTATTGCTGTGGTAATTTTTGAGAGTATTTAATACAAATACCATTTTCTATGTTTAACACTTTAACAACAAATTCTCTTATTTCATATTCATACTTTGTGCACAAATATAACAACAGTGCTCAGTTTACCACTTAACATTAGCTAAAAACAGTTTAAAATAATATATTTTTAATGTGCCTTTCGCTTTTATGAAAGTTAGTTATTTTTTACAATCTGGAAGTTTAGATTTGAAATGCCAACTACAGTTTATAATGAACAACTTCAACTTAACAGTGTGTATATAATGGAAGACTTCAACTTAATAGTGTATACATTTTATGTTCATTTAACTTATGTCTTGCATAATTTATTTAAAATCACAATTACTTTCTACTGCTTTGGAAACTACTTACTTTAAGTCACCAAATGTTTTGATAATTTACATATGATTTCAATTTTTCTTGTTTGCCATTTGAGATTATTCTTCTAGTTTCATATCATAGACATAAAAATACAGATTCAGATAGATTTTTTCCTGTTTTGAGGACCAGAAGCACTGAAAACTATCATACCTTTTTATAGAAGTCAAATCACATTCATTTTTGTCAAAAGTTTGTGGCATTAATATCAACTATAAAATGCAACTTTTACAGCTCCAGAAAATATTTTTTAGGATCCACAGCTTAAGATATTATATGATGTGATACTAATATCTCAATCAGATTCTTAATTTATATGATAAAATGAGGAGATGTCAAATTTGTCAGCCTTTTTAATATTTATGATAAAAGAAAAAGCATGCTCAGCCAATTGCAGCTCACATTTTTTCATCATGAAAACTTACAGTTATAAATTTTATTGACTGCCATAGTTTTGTCAAAGGTTTCTTTTCCATCACATGAGTAGTTACTGAGTTAAGAGTTTTTTTTTTCTCATTACAACTACTATGATAGGAGAAGAAACAACTTAGCCTAAGTTTAGGCAGGAGTAGTAGTGACTCATATGATCAGGTGAGGCACCACCTCATGCAAAATTTCCACATCCATGTTCCTATATAAATACTTGAACCAAAGTTTTTTTATCCTTAATTATGTTTTAGTGAGTGTAAAAAAAGGCATATTGTTTATTTGCTACGAAAGTTCCGATCATGATCTAATAATTCTAAATAAGGAAACAATGTGTTCAACAAAGCAAATCAGAATTACATGACCCACTGCCATGCCAACAGGAGAGTGTTGTTTGTTATATATTACATAATAAATAAGGAAACAATGTGTTCAACAAAGCAAATCAGAATTACATGACCCACTGCCATGCCAACAGGAGAGTGTTGTTTGTTATATATTACATAATAAATAAGTGAGAAATGGGCTCTGCAGAGACAAGAGGTTTTGGAACATGAAATACATGGATTTCAGGTTGTAAGTGTATCCATCAAAAACACCACCATCCACCACTTGGCTGGAGTAATGGCTACCATACTGATTGTACATGCTCAATTCCAAAGCAATGAAACTAGTTACAGGTGATAATAAACCAAACATTAGTCGTGATATTGCCAACACAAGATAGTAAGTTTTCACTTAAACCATTAAATCCAGGTATAATCCAACAATGCAATTAGATACCAACAATGACGCTTGATAACCAGTAAACTCTTAAGAACAAATATCACATTTTATAGTCGACTGAGTATACAGTGTAATATGAACACTTATCTATGCTGAAATAGTCAGTATGAAAACTGTAAAGGACAAGTTACAGAAAAAAAAATTGTTATACAGTATAAATAAACAAACTAGAGTACAGAATCTCTTTTTAAATTTACACATGTTAGCACAGTTAACTTGCACATTATAATTTATCAGACCTTACATGTTCCTTACCTTTCTGTTCTGTGCTTCTATTGCAGCTATTGCTTTGACTTCTACTGGATTTTGTACCATCCTGCCAGACTTCCCTGTGAAATCCATTGCTACTTGAACTTTATTACATGAAAGAGAATCCTGAGAAACAAAATAATTTCCTAAAATTTAGACAAAAAATACTAATGCTTATGAAAGTTTTAGAGATTACTAGCAGATGTTATTAAATGTTTATTATGAACTATTAGTTCTTTCAATATACATTTCTTTAGAGGATTTTAAGTCTTTCTTTCACACTTTCATTAGAAACCCTTTAAAAGCCATTAGACATATTACTAAATTGTTCTTTTACTTGTTATACTTAAAGAATAGAAAAAATGATAAGGTTACTTATAGCTACAATATAACTGACTCTGTATAAGAGCTGATAATCATTATCATGAAAGTCCAAGAAGTTGTAAAATTTTCACAAATCTAATTAAATGTCCAGATTGACAGTGTTTTAGCATGTGAGAATATAAAAAATATACTGATTTCCCTAGCATTCTGTCATGTTTTAAAATCATACAGTAAGACTTGTTAAAGCAACTGCTATGTTATGAATAAAGGAAATCTCATTTAATCAGAGCATACACTATAGAGAAATACAAATTCCAAAATGAATATGAAATATACACCAATAAAGAAGCTAATGCATTCTATATTTTAAATTTTAATTCTAAGTTTACTTTTATAACCATCAACTGAATTTATGTTAGTTTTTATTATAATTTAAACTTCTGAAACACATATATGACACAAACCAAAAGTCTCACACTTACTAAAGTCGTATCATGGTGTTCTCCTTTGTTTAAGCATAAAGATGAATTGTCAACACTGTTGCTTCTTGATTTGGCTTCTCTATAATTTTCTCGTAGCTTTTTCCCAAACTAGTAAAAGTTTCACAATAATAATCATTTCTAGGATTACTGATGTACAAGGTAAATGTTAAAAGAAATTTATCATATTAAATATAAAATCTCAGTAAAACACTGATACTTAGAAGAAATTATTATAATTAATGTATTGAAGGTACAAAATAAAGGTTATAGTCATACCTACACTGTCAGTGTTAAATATAATTATTAAAATTTCATAAGAGAGGATAATCAATAGCTTAATACTTTAGGATATGGCTGCCTGGTCTAATGGTAGATGGGAGAGATCTACTTGGGATTTAATTCCAGTGGTAAAGCACTAATCCTAGAACACTAATATTATATGAAGGTTCTGGTAGTTCAGTTGGTAAAGCATTAGTCTCAAAACACAAGAGTGAGCTGAAGGCTTTGACAGTTTAGCTGGAATTGGAATTATTCAAGTTCTAAAAAATTATTTAAGTTCAAAAAAGTAAAAAGAGGCATTATTTTTTTTAAGGCAGATTTTTAGAGGGTGGATTGCACCCTTTCGTGCCCCCGTGGCTATAGCACTGAGCTTAATTGGTAAAGCATTAGTGTGACATGATGTTTCTAGTAGCTCAGTTGATAAAGCATTAGTCCAAAAGAACCAGAGTGAGCTGAAGGTTCTGGTAACTCAGTTAGTAAAGCATTAGCCTCAGAACATTAGATTAAACTGAAGGCTTTTGTAGTTTAGATGGTATAAGGCATTACTTCAAAAGCACTAGTGTGAGCTGAATATTCTGGCAAGTCAGTTGGTAAAGCATTAGTCTCAAAACAACAGATTAAGCTGAAGGTTCTGAAAGCTCAGTTGGTAAGGTTACTTCATGAGATTGAGATCCTGGTAGATCAGTTGCTAGTACATTATTTTATAAGAATTAGCATAAGATGAAGGTTCTGGTAAATCAGTTGATAAGGCATTACTTTATGTAATCAAAAACATCTTAGGTGTAAAAAAAAATTCATTCATTAGTTAACTAGGCTGCATTTTTTGTTTTAACCACCATCATGTCCCATGAACAGAATATGCAGTCTGACTAACTAATGAATAAATATTTGATGTAAAATTCTTATCGATGCTATAAGTGTAGCTACCAGTTTGGCTGCCAATTTTGATTTCATTCCTTTAAGTCGTACGTTCAATCCTTTTTATGGCCACACCTTTTTTTTCACACCTAAGGGGTTTTTGATTAGATATCATGACTTTTTGTCAAAACATATCCACAAACCACAGCAAGTAAGAAAGTGACACTCGATTGTAATCAACATTAGCTTCGGGATTGGAACCCTATTATTCAGAACAGACCTATACTTTACAGAAGCAACCAGATTCTTTAAAATATATGGTGGTAATTTTTCTCTCTAAATCAGTGTTAATAACTTCCTTTATTGTAAAACAATGGAATCTAGATCAACAGTTTCTTGTCATCACCTGCATGCACCCGGTACACATATGAAGCATCATTACTTGTGCTAATTGCTTAAGCTAATATCATGTGACACTAAACACTCTTTAATTAGGAAATCGGCAAATTTATGCTAAATATTTGGCAATAAATAATAACCATCCACCTATATGATTCTTTTGAAAACTTGAGCTAGAAACTGCTAACTTAGTTTGCTTGGCCTAACCAGTATTTACGTATCTCTATGTCCTTTTACCGTATAGTTTTGCTAATCTAAATCAGTTGTCTTTAATTTGAATGCCAAAAAACTAAAAACAGTCCACTTTTACTCTTAGATGAAGCTGTAGTAAAAATTTTAGACCAATGTATCATGGGACATTTTGTGTAAGTGTGTGCAAAAATTTGAGTCAAATTTGAGCAGTTATATTTAGACCAAATTTGACAACTAATTGTTGGTTGTGATAGTCTATCAGTGAACCAAATTTGAAAAAAATTCATAAAAGTTAATTATGTTCTCCTATCAAATAATGCTTCCATACTTTCAGTGGGTGAAAAAGAAGAAAAAAAGGAAAAAATTCAATCAAATTGGAGATTTTAATTCTCGTGTATTTCTTAATGGATTACCTTGAAATTTGGTATTTGAAATACTGATTAAGTAGAGCACATCCATTGAAAATATGTGATAATTTGGATTACCATATTCTGAGCTACATAAAGTGGAAAATTGCTAAACTATCACTGCTGTTAATTACACACAGTGTGTCCTGCAGGTTGTTTTGGCCACACGACATACTACTGTGTGTCTTGATAAGAATTAGCTTAAAATGAAGGTTCTGGTAGCTCCATTGTTAAGACATTAGCATCAGAGCACTAGTGTGAGCAGAAGGTTCTGGTTTCAAACCACAGTTAGGGCAAGTTTTGTAAGATTTTGTTTTGCCATACTGGTTTAATTTTTTTGGATTGTTAAAATTGAATAAATCTTCTTTTCTGCAAATCTGAGTTTTTACACAGTTTTTCGACAAACTTTGTTTTCTAAGAAATCACTTTGTTCATTGCCCCTAAAAGTACTACAGATCTATGTCATATGCTTAGGATAAAAACTATAAACTTAATCTGGGTAAGCACTTTACCTTTGTTGAATCTGGTAACTAACTAGTTGGACAAAAAGATTAGTAAGAGCAGCATACATATAATACATAAATGTTTAGTTTGGAAAGATAATTTACTAAATACAGTACTTACTTTTGCTAATCGTAAGGCCACAATCCAGCATTTTCTCTCTTTTTCAGTAGCAGAACAAAACCACTTCAGATCAGCAAATGATCCTTCAAGATTTGATCTCAGCTAAAACAATGAGAAGTACAAGTGTTTTTTTCTAGATATCACAAATTAATAAAATACAGAACTACTCATAATTCTGAGATCAATATGAAAATAAAAATACTAATTTTTATATAATCAAGAGGAATCACTTCTAGGAAATACCTATTCAAATATGGCTTTGTAATTCCAATAAAAACTGTTATTCTTTCAGTAAATAGCCAGCCCAAAGTCCCAGTGCTAAACCAACTGAACATTTATGGCACCAATTGAAATTAAATGTTGCAAAATAGAAGTCAATTAATCTGTGGTAATGTCTGTACACAAAAATAGAATATAATACCAGTTGAAAATCTCAAACAACTGATAACATCCAAGTATGATTAATGTTTTCATATAGTTAACACTAATGCAGGACAAACTAAACATTGGTTATTTTGTGTTCAAAAATTAGCTTCTGATGCCTAATATTGTAATATTGAGTACAAATAAAACAAGTAAATGAAGACAACACATTTCTTAATTTTCCAAACTTTCATGAAAAGTTGAGACCTTGAACTCAAGTTTGTGACAAGTGTTGTATATTAAAACGTTTTGTTGTCAACAAAAACAAAACAACAATCTCTTAACATGGCAACTGCAGAAACAAACCACTATTTTGACAACAGTTATGCTGGTATTAAACACTCAACCATAATGCTTGGGTTCAGGTTTTGTTTATATTACATATGAAAATTGTAGTTCAGGAAACTGTTGATAACAGTAGGTATATTCCCCTCCTTTTTTGAAAAATTTTAGAATAAAGTTTCAAGCTTTAATGTTTCTAATATGTGTATGCATACATACACTGTATATTTTATGAAATTACTTAAAGATCAAAATAAGAGTAACTGATGGGTACTAGATATCAGAAAACACTAACCTTGACACAAAAAGTGAAATTAGTTGGAGCTCCAGTACACTTTCCATCAATTGGCATAAAAATATCACAGCATTGTACATCTAAGAGTGTATGCATCTTCTGTTCCTACAATATAGTAGAACATTTCAAATGAGCAAGAGGCAGTCATGTTTCAATTTATGTAAAAAATGTAAAGACAACATTATTTTTTTTCAGATTGCATTTCACTTTCAGTAAAAACAAAATAAACCTTGATACTAATAAATTTTAAAAATACACTGTCTTGTATACAACAAATTTCATAAAAAGATTAGATGAATAAAATAAAAGCAATTTATTTATACGATACATAATTAAAGTTCAGATTTAAATCAAAAAGAAATATGTTATTAAAAATCTAAAAATATTGGATATTTACTGTCATATTACTTTATTCCATTTTCATGTCTAATCCAACTTTATTTCAACAGAAAAGTATA